TTTAGGCTCGAAGGGAGGCTGTTGATGGTTTTTAAAGGGGATCAAATGAATAAAATGATAAATTTTAATAAATTAAAACGTGAAATTGTCATGATTGGATTAGGTATCGAATAATAAATGACGAGGCGCCGTAAAGTGACTAATTTGTACAACATCAATGTCATAATGGATGAATAAAAAAGCAAAACATAAATAAATAAGATGGGATAAATAAAAGAAGAAAGAGGAAAAATCCTGAATTCTCCGACCCTCTCCAAACAAACTAAAGTCTAGTTTAAGATGATGATTTCGTAATGCGAACCATGAAAACAGCTTAATATTAGTAAGAGTTTTACCTCCTTATAAGCATCTCTGCGAGCAAATGTAGCCTCAACCGATCTTCGGCCACATGAGGCCAGAAAGTTGAATCGCCCAGAAAAAGCTCTCCCATACGATCAATTGCCAGTTGAAGGAGGCTGGGCAGCAGGCCATCTGGTTGGATGATCAACTCGAGGGCGCGCAGGGCTAGTGGCTTTCGAGTGCCACCACTCTGATCGCCAGGAGCTAACAGGCTGGCAACAAGCTGAGGAGCGAAATGGCGCGGGTCGCGAGGCGACAATGCATATAAGAGGACTTTACGAGCATGTGGATGGGAGACCATTTCATCGAGATCGTCTAGTAGTTCCTAGAAAATTGAAAAAGAATAAAAGCTGCGAAAAGGAACACCAATAGCGTATGCATACTAAGCTTAGACGTAGGTAATGGCAGCTAAGTGATCTCCAAACCAATTAGTATAGTAAGCCCAGCAAAATAAAAGCTATTCGTTTAATCCTAAAATTTAATTCACCAACAAATTCTGTAAGTCGTAGGACCACTTAAATGAGGTAATGCAAGTCACGACAAGCATAATAAATTTAATCAAACTAGATTTGACAAAATGCCAATATAACTTCGCCCTTTGTGAAGTCTGTCTTCTCTTGATTCATTGACTTAAATTAGTTTTAACGGTCCTAATCCTTATATTTGGAAGAACATATCTGCCGATGAGCAAACAGTGGAGAGTGTAAGAACACTGGCACAGTTGCACATTGTTGCCAGAATTTTAAATGCGGAGATAAGATAATATAGCTTTGGCATAAGAGCAAAATATTATAAATCCAATTATCTTCTCCAATTAGCAAACATAAGAAATACATCAAAATCCCTGAAAAACTGACTTAAAATGGAGGTAGTACGCTGATATAATCAAGAGAAGAGTATGACAAAGTAGAAAGAGTAAAAGGACAACACTTATTTTAGGTTGTTTGAAATACATTCATATGAAAGCTTGCAGAATAGCACTAGCAGAAATCTGTTAAAATTCTCAATAGGTCCAACAAAATACAAATGAGGTTCGGCTAAAAAAATACAGACAAGAGAAAATGGAGCCATTTAGTAGAGAAAGGATTATAATGTATTGTTATAATTAAGCGACACACGGAACCAAGAGAAAACAAGCAATCAGAGTCAGGATGTGAAAAAATGAGGCATGACCTCATATGAACTGATTCGCAAACTGAGATCGATATTTCTAAAAAAAAGTAATCTTGAAATAAAAAAATAACACCTTAAAAGCCTACATATATGACACGAGATGGACTTAGAGGTTTGCTCGGGAGCGTATTTCATGGCAGATTTGGTGACATGAGCTGAGTGGAATTAGCTAACCACTGAGATAGAAACTGATCATCTAATGCATGTGGAAGAATCTGATAGGAGTTGGATGAATAGTTTACAGAATGAAAATGTCAATTTCTATCAGCGATTCCGGAAAAAAAATGGGGGGGGTACGTTCAAAAGAGGGCACCTTTGAAATAGTTTAAAATAGACAACTTAGACGATGTAATATAAGTGGATGAACCAGAACAGATATCAATGATAAGCAGATATTAGGTCAAGAAAGTAGCTTCATTTATTCCATTGACGAGTTATAGTCCGATGCTAACTGATAATGCCGGGAAAATATATGTGAATATAGGAAGTTAACTGT